CTCTGCCCCTCCCAGCACACCCACTACCCGCAGTTTGCCAGCCAGGAGTTCGCGGGGCAGACGCGGCGGGGCCCTTTTGGGGACGCTCTGGCTGAGTTTGAYGGCTCCGTGGGGCAGCTGGTGCAGGCTCTGCAGGAGAACGGCCTGGAGAAYAACACCCTGCTCTTCTTCACCTCTGACAACGGGTGAGGGGCTCCTGGGGCAGGAATTTGCCACCAGGGTGAGGGCTGTTTTGGGCTGGGGTGGGGCAGCGGGGTGGCAGTGCCAGGGGATCCCAGGGCAGGATCTCTGTGTTCCTGTCACTCAGTTTTGTGCAGAAACTCCACAGGGATTGGGCTGGGAGGGTGACACCCCTGAATGTCCCCTGGCTCCCTCTGAGTGACACCGGTCTGGGGTGACCTGCTCAGGTGTCCCACAGCCCTTGGACTCTGCAGCTGCCCCTGGGGTCGGGCAGGGTGGCAGTGCCACATCCTCTGTCCCTGTCCCTGCCCTGAGGCTGAGCAGGGTGGCAGTGCCACCTCCACTGTCACTGCCCTGAGGTTGAGCAGGGTGGCAGTGTCACCTCCTGGGGCTGGGCAGGGTGGCAGAGTCACCTCCCCTGTCATTGCTCTGGGGCTGGGCAGGGTGGCAGTGCCACATCCCCTGTCCCTGTCCCTGCCCTGAGGCTGAGCAGGGTGGCAGTGCCACCTCCCCTGTCACTGTCCCTGCCCTGAGGCTGAGCAAGGTGGCAGTGTCACCTCCACTGTCCCTGCCCTGAGGCTGAGCAAAGTGGCAGTGCCACCTCCACTGTCCCTGCCCTGAGGCTGAGCAGGGTGGCAGTGCCACCTCCACTGTCCCTGCCCTGAGGCTGAGCAGGGTGGCAGTGCCACCTCCATTGTCACTGCCCATGGGGCTCAGCAGGGTGGCAGTGTCACCTCCCCTGTCATTCCTCTGGGGCTGGGCAGGGTGGCAGTGTCACCTCCACTGTCACTGCCCTGAGATTGAGCAGGGTGGCAGTGCCACCTCCCCGTCCCTGTCCCTGTCCCTGTCCCTGCCCTGAGGCTGAGCAGGGTGGCAGTGTCACCTCCACTGTCACTGTCCCTGCCCTGAGGCTGAGCAGGGTGGCAGTGCCACCTCCACTGTCCCTGCCCTTAGGGCTG